TTTCTTTCTGTTTAGAACTCGTCAACTGAATGTACATGTTGGGACAGCTTCTGAGAACTACGACGGAGCCTCAAGATGCTGTAAAGGAGCCGAAGAGTCTCCATCCAATTAGAACACAATGAAGCTTTCTAGAATATCAACGTGGCATGCTATTTTGGACAGTAGAGTAACATGCCTCTTCGTAGATTGGTTGAATTATAATATTGATATAACAAACTGTAATGTCTATAAATACCCATGATCTTCTGTACATTTTGATTCTTACCCAACAAGCACTTCTCCAGTCTTCGTCTGTCTTTTGATTTGTGACTGTGAAGGTTCCATACATTCAAGTGCCGTAGTTGTATACTATATTCTGAGTTAATCAAGTAGCGAAGTTAACAGTACCTACATCCGTGAGTTGATTTTCACTCCAGAACTTCAACCCAGTACCGTTTGTGTTCAGGATTTCACTAACTGTAGACGTATTTTGTTGAATTTTCTGTTTATATACTTTAGAACCATATGAAATTCTTGGAAAGAAAGTCATCCAATTATGGATCTTTGAAATTAGACCAAACAGACAAATATGATTCGACAGTTTACTATTTTAAACCTAGTTTAGTTTTCTTTTTTTTACACTGATCATTCATTAAGAGATAATAAACATCATATTGAATGAATGTTCATGGTTAACAGGATCATGTTGACCAGTAAACTAGGTGACTTTTATATTGTATGTATATTTTTTAAATATCAGATGGTTGAAAATCATTCGGGCCTCATTGGTAACATTTCAGGCTGTGATAAGGAGTAACAGAGAATCGACTCAAACAGGGGTTACTTCAGTTTTCATTGGACACGAAAACGCTATCCACTCAGATGTACACAGTTATATTTCCCAGTGAATTTTAGCCTTATATCAATCTATAGTCAAAATTAACTTCAAATAGGTGAAACTTTATATTTTTTCCCTCATTTACTCTTTTTGTTATATTTCTACAACTTTTCAAAGATTAGTAGTAGGGTTTTGATTTATCGATTTAATTGATCACAGATTGGTCATATTTGTGGTATCACTGAAGGTCAAGGAACAATTCAGGTTTATTTTCTATTAGTATGGGACTTCCCATCAGTGCATACTTACGATTACATCAGAGATCGAAATGACAACCTTCAAGTCTTACAGCAAATGTTTGACTATTAGAATTTTTATTTCAATGTTTAATCGTACAATCCCTATAAAAGGAAAGAAATTTATGCAATTTTCTCTGCTTTACAACTGTACCTCGACTAAGACCAGTCTTTGGGAAATACAACTTACAAATTTAATAACTATTCAGAAAATATTAATCAAATCATATTAGTTAATTTACCAGTAATTTGCTTCAAATTATCCTTGAAGTTCCGTTGAAAAATCCTAGCGTCAGTTAAGTACCACTATTCATTACAGGCGATTGTACAAATGATATCGAAGATCAACTGAAGTTCACAGTGTAAACCATTCGATCGCACTGGTACACCAAATGTTGAAAGCTCATCATGTAACTTGAAAGTCGTAGGTTCAGTACCCTGTTTAGTCATAGATGGTTAAACAAAATACACTTGAGATAATTTGAATCTTACGATGTTTTTTATATTTATTCACTAACTTTCTCTCTCTCTCTCTGTATATATATATATATATATATATATATATATATATATATATATATATATATATATATATATATATATATATATATATATATATAGTGTAAGCTACTTATATCTTTCGACATAAGTAGTATGTAGTATTATTCAGAAGTGGAATACCTGGCAGCAGAATATTGAGAAGATCGAATTGAAGAGAATAGTAATGTAAACAGAGAGTAATCGAAATGAAGTAATAATGAAGTTTATAAGAGACAATTAATGGAAGACTTACAAATGAAGTATTTAATGTATGCTGTTCACACATTTGGTATGTATATATGTACATGTATACACAATTTTGGTTGTCCCCCATTGTAATTTCACCCTGTCTGAAAAATTCAATGCATTAACAACTGTACATTTAGAAAAAAACCATAACAATCAAATCTGTGACCAAACTATTCATAATGTCAACATGGAAATAAATCAAATACTTTTTTCTTTCATTTTTGTTTCCACCTTCGTTTTTTTTCTTTTCAAGTCGACTACATCAACTTATCTTCTATTATTTGGATGTAAAAGAATATCAAATCGGAATTCGTTTTTCTTTACTTAATATGAAGTTACATTTTGGGCTTAATTTAAACATTAAAACAAAAAAGAAACAAAGGAATGATAGTATACTTTAACATACTTTCCAATGTAGTCATCATTAAAACTAGTTATGAATGATTATTCTGGTATTGAAAACATTGATGTTGACATTTAAATGATTATCTTAAACGATATTGCATCATTTCACTTGATATATTGTTCAGCCTGTATCTTCCCATTGAGGTTTAAGACTGATCAATTGAAGTCTTAAACCTCATTGGGAAGATACAAGCCAAACAATACCAAGTGAATTTAACAATATGATAAATCGAATCATTAAAAATAATAATCTAAATTTCATTCTTTTATCATTCTCATTATTGTTTAGATAATCAACAAGTAGGTACGTATTTCCACTTAGAAGCTTGACTCTTTTATAAAAGCTTCATGAAATAATGTAAGATCTCTCTAAATCATTTCCATTGTTTATTATGATATTATTCAATAGTTTTATCATTCATTGATGAACATGATGGATCTGATGCAGATGTGAAGGCGCGGATCGGCAAAGCAAGAGCAGCATATTTACAACCGAGGAACATCTGGAACTCAAAGCAACTGTCAACCAACACCAAGGTCAGGATTTTCAATACAAATGTCAAGACAGTTCTACTGTATGGGGCGGAAATCTGGAGAACTACGAAAGCCATCATCCAGAAGATACAGGTGTTTATGAACAGTTGTCTACGCAAAATACTTCAGATCTGTTGGCCGGACACTATTACCAACAACCTACTGTGGGAGAGAACAAACTAGATCCCAGCGGAGGAAGAAATCAGGAAGAAGTGCTGGAAATGGATAGGACACACATTGAGGAAAGCACCCAACTGTGTCACAAGACAAGCCCTCACATGGAATCCTCAAGGCCAAAGGAAAAGAGGAAGACCAAAGAACACATTACGCCGAGAAATGGAAATATACATGAAAAAGATGAACAAGAATTGGATGGAATTAGAAAAGGAGACTCAGGACAGAGTGGGTTGGAGAATGCTGGTCGGCGGCCTATGCTCCATTGGGAGTAACAGGCGTAAGTAAGTAAGTAAGCTTATCAGAAGAAATTGAATCTCACTATCATTAATTAATACCAGAAATAGATCACAGTATGAATTCAATTACAATTAAAACCTAGATTGAATAGTTTTACTGTACTAATCCTTTTTAATTAGTGATTGATTATAAAATATTACTGCGTGATAAATAAGTACATCGTATTCGTCATTGATTTAGTAAATCTTTGGTACAACACAATAATGTAGAAATAAGAGAAGATGGCTGGTGGCTAGCAGTGGATAATTCAAACAAACAATACAAAATGTATATACACTTCACCTCACTGCACAAGCTAGTTGCTATTAGGAGTCAGTAGTTAAGTGGATAACATGATGACATTTGAAGTGAACGGTACTGGGTTCATGTCCCGAAGTGAACATCAAATCTGAGATACAGGCACATCAAACTGATGAGTCCTAATTATGACGAAACACGCATTCACGATTCCACTGCTAACCACCATCCATCTCTACTCATAATGCTTGTGGCTTAAGACAATATCGACGTAACCAGCACTGGATGTTCATACACCAATAAGAGACTGATCAGTCAGAGTTGTTTTCTGGTTTAGCGATCAAGTTCAGACATAGATCCAAAACTATAAAACAGAATGAAATTAAATCATTTACCTTCGGTACTTATCCTCTTTTTTTATGAGTTTCTTATTTATTCTTATAATCCAATTCTAATATTAATCCAACATGGATTTATTGAAGTATAAATTACATCTTTCTTCAAAGAATATTACAAAGTTTCAATAGTTTTCTTTATTTGAATGCTTCTAGAAGTGTAGAATTTGACCTAAATTTTGTATTAAACATTTAAATATCGAGTAATTATAATCAATAAGGATAACTGTACTCAAATTTCATATAAATAGATAGATAGATACTAGTGAAATAAATCGACGATCTTATAAGAACTATTACTCTATCATGGCAATCGGGCAAATCAAGTGAATTTAGGTCAAAAAATAAATATCATTATAGGGTTATGAAGATTATTAAGTTTTCGACTGAGATCATAAACCGATTAATGTTAGGCTACCATTGAAAACCTGGAAGTACTGGATGGCCGTTTCGTCCTATGTGCTCATTAGTGACTAGCTTATTGATGGAATTCTTGGAGTTCTAGTGAGCAGTCGTGACTAGTGGAGATAATCCATGTCAGGTAGAGACAAGTATCTACTTCGTAACAATAGAAAAATGTGACATAATTTCATAGAATGGCTTAAGATAGACATTAACACTATTGGATTCTGGCTCAATGGCCTAGTGGTTAAACGCCTGGTGCGAAATTGATAAGTGCTAGTGTTGAATCTCGCGGGGTGCGGGATTGTGGATGTGCGTTGCTGAGAAGTTTCATACTAGGACGAAACGGTTGTCCCGTGCTTCCAGGTTTTCCATGGTAGCCTAGTTTCAATTGACTCATGATTTCAATCAAAGACATAATTATAATGAAACTTCATTGGTGGACATTATGAAATGTCTCTTTTTTTTCTTTTTTTTACACTGACTTTAAGATCATATTTATTTATTGTGATGAAAGATGTGCATATGTACTTGAGTTTATGTGTGTGTGTTTACTTTCGTTCTTTCTTTCTTTCTTTCTTCCCTTGTTTGTTTTCATTTCTATAGTCACTTAGCCTAACCTGATAATCTAACCATAATACAATATAGATATGAATAGACAAAATACGTTATATATGTGCCTACATCCATACATCCATATGTTGTAGGTCAGTATTTCATTTGATTTGTTCCTTATTCACACTTAATGTTTCTATGATGAAGATATTATTAAAATGAAATTTCAATTATATCTTCATTATTATTATTATTATCATAATGATAATTATGTGTAATGAAAATGCAATGATTGTACATTGATGAAACGTACCAAACGAGCAACATAAACACACACACACATACATACATCCTCACTAACAAACAAACAAACAAGGATCATCTGTCAATCTCAATATCAGAATTCAATTGTCCACATGTATAATAAGATCTAATTATTCAATCATATATGTATTTGGAAACTTCTTAAAGGATTTCTTATCCAAATGATAATGATCTTCAATTAAAATGGAACTATACAAAATATGTTAGATGAATTATTGAATAATATGTCTAATTATACAAATTTATATTTCATTACTGATAATCATACTACTAATACTACTACTACTCCATCTTCTCCTCATCCTTCTTCTCCTTCTCCTTCAACTACGACTACTACTACTACAACAACAAATTCTACTATTCATCATACTACTTATATCATTCCTATTACATTATCTAAACAAAATGAATTAGATTTAGAATATTTAGATCATATATTAAGTATAATGCGTTTAATATGTGGTAAAATTTTAACTCCATTATTATGTTTAATTGGATTTATATCTAATATTATTAATATTATTATATTAACAAGAGAATGGATGAGTTCATCAACTAATATCTATTTAACTGCTGTATCTATATGTGATTTATTATATTTATTATTTACTTATTTATTTTCATTATGGTTATATCCATCTATTAAACAATTAACTATTTATGCATATAGTATTACTTATATACATGGTACTGCTAATTTATTTAGTAATATTACTACATGGCTTACTGTAAGTTTTACATTAGAACGTTATATTGTTATATCATCACCTATATTAGGTAAACGTTATTGTACTAAACAACGTGCACGTTATGTTATTATTATTATATTTATTATATGTTTTTTAATAACATTACCAGATTATTTAAAAAAAACAATCAAATATAATCATACTACTTATAATACTACTCATAATAGTAGTAATCATCATAATCAATTAATCAATAATTCTACTAATATAACAATCAATAATAATCATAATCATTATAATCAATATTTAGTTGTTGATACACAAATCAATATCATTTTAATTAAAATTGGTTATGATTATATTAATCAAATTATATTTATTATATTACCAATGATATTATTAATAATATTTAATAGTTTATTAATAAGATCTGTAATGAAAGCAAATTATGATCGAAGAATATTAATCAAACAAGGTAATAATAATTGTATACCATCGATCAATATTACAAATGATCCGAAAAATATTGATTTATTACCAAATATTAATACAAATATCAATACTCATGGTGATAATGATAAGAATAATAATGGACGTCAATATAGTATGGTTCAATTAAATCAAGAAGCTACAACAAGTCAAATAGTACCAGCTATTGTACGTGATGCATTAGAAGCAAGTATGAGAACAACAATTGGTATCACATCTAGTATAACACAATCATATCGATCAATGAATTATCAAACAAATTTATTACCAATTATGAATATCAAAAGAGGTACAAAATTAGGTGAACAACATCGTATTACATTAATGTTAATTACTATTGTTATAGCATTTGTATTATTACAATTACCAAGTATGGTACCAACAATAATAATGAATTTATGGAATACTGGTATGATTCAATCAACACAATATACAACAAAGTGCCTATTAATATATGCAAATATATCAAATGTATTATTAATTATTAATGCTGCATTAAATTTTGTATTTTATTCATTATTTTCAGCAAGATTTCGTCAAACATGTTATATACTACTGAAAAATATTACTTGTTTAAAACATTTTTTATATCAATAATACTTATACTACTATGAATACTACTTATATTAATAATCATTCATTGATAAAACACCAATTCATAGTTACGATCATTCATTGAAATAATTGTGTTTCTAAGTACAATTAATAATGGATATCCATGATAAACATTCATAGTAACTGAAAGTCATGATTATAGATCAAAGTCGACTAATCTATCCTGTGAGTATACGTAGATAATCTTTTGAACAGAGTGATGTTTACTGAAGAAAAATCCATCCCTATATATATCAATAATAATTTTCCAATGGAAGAATCTAGAATGTTCCAAGAAGATAAAATCATGGAATTCATTGAAAATAATCAAAGTATTCACGTCAATGTTCTTATTAAAAATTAAACAAACAAACAAACAAACAAAACAATATAATTATACAGTTGTGATCTATTCATCAATCTGATCATAACCTAAAGTAACCAGATATAATTATGATGTAAATTGTTTTCCTTATATATATATAACCTATTGTTGAACATATATGCATGGTTATACATTGTGATTGACGTGTATTTTCACAGCTTATTATTGTTTCATTTGCCTAGTAGAACTATAGATGGTAAATATATACATATATATATATTTTGTAAGGAAAAAAAACTGTTTCGATTGAGAGAAAGTAGTGGGTCAATCAAGTAATATATATATGTATATGGAATACTTACTTACTTATTTATATACTTACGCCTGTTACTCCTAATGTAGCATAGGCCCGTGATCAGCATTTTACAACACACTCTGTCCTAGGCCTTCCTTTCCAGTTCTGTCCAATTTTTGTTCATTCTTCTCATGTCTGTCTCGATTTCTCAGCGTAATGTATTCTTTCGTCTTTCTCTTCTTCTTTGGCCTTGAGAAATCTAAGTGAGGACCAACCTTGTGACGCAGTTGGATGCTTTCCTCAATGTGTGTTCTATACACTTCCAGTGCTTGTTCCTGATTTCTTCTTGTGCTGGAACCTGGTTTGTTCTTTCCCACAGTAGGTTGTTCCTTATAGTGTAGTGTCTGGCCAACGGATCCGAATTATTTTGCGTGGACAACAGTCAATAAACACTTTTATCTTCTGAATGACAGCTTTTGTAGTTCTTTAAGTATCTGTCCCATACAGTAGAACTAGAATAGTAATATTGTTTTCATACTTGTATTTACTCATAAGATTAGTATACTAGTCGAAATATGTTATTTGATCAGTTCTCTAAAATGTAAATCGTATGTTTATCAACAAAAATTCAGGCTGATATTATTCTCATTATTGGATTGAGGGTAGATCCGTTGTTATTTCCAACATTATGCATTCTGTGTTGTTTTTTTACTAATTTGATCGGGTTTATATTTTAAAGTATTCAGTTGGTTGTGATAATCAGTCGACATCCTTTGTATTAAAAGAAACAAGTGATGATTAACGAATAGATATAGTCATTTTTATGATCATAATGTAATTATAGACGTCAGCTCAATTGTGTAGAGGTTCAGCGTCCTAGGTTCGAATCTCGCCGGGCGGATCGTGGATGTGGACTGCTGAGGAGTCCCAAACTGGAACGAAAAGGTCATCCAGTGCTCCCAGGTTTTTCATGGTGGTTTAGCATTAATTCACTTATGAATTCAACCATGAAATTATCAATTAAATTAGTTTGATCAGTCTCATATATTATAGGGAAATGTACATTTTTATGAATGTAGACGTTAATTTGATCAATTAAGATAGTTAGTACATATGTTATTTATGCTTAATGATTGTCTTAGATTTCATACAATAACTGATAGTTTCAAAGTACTTCTAAGAAAAGACAGAAGAGATCATATTCAGAAATAACATCAGTCTAACATCAATCGGTTCATATGATCTCAATTAAAAACCTCAGTCTATAAGATTTTGACTATTCCATTAAAGTATATTAGTTAGTATCAAATAATTGATTAAGGTTTCTTGATGAATTCTATATTATCTATTCCCAATATATTCTACTACAATTAAGATTATCATTACTTCTAATACTTTGATATCGGGTTTCCTAGTGTACTTTGACAAGAAAAGAAAAACGGTACTTCAACGTGTACAGTTATTCAATTCATTTAACTGATTATGTAATTCATATGTAGAGACAGGTATCTACCTCAGTACAATGGAAAATGGTCAAGCAATTTCATAGATTGGTTGAGGTTAGAAATAAACACAGTTGGATGCCAACTCAGTGGTCTAGGGGTTGGGCGTTTCCATGCAAGACTGAAGGCCTTGGGTTCTAACCCTGAGAGTGGACTGTGAATGCACACCATTGAGGAGTCCCACAATAGAACGAAACGGCCGTTGAGTGCCTACAGGTTTTCAATGGTAGTCTAACATCAATCAGTTCATGATATCAATCAAAAATGTTATATTGATTCAATAAAATCATTAAGCTATTAGATTTGTAGTAAATATGAATCAATATTTTTCCATTATTTTTAAATAGGCATTTAGAATTGATTATGTAAACCTTTAACTTACTTAAGTCTGTTACTCCTCTTGAAGGAACATAAGTCACTCATCACGACTCTTCATCCAACTCTGTTTTGAGCAATCATTTACACTTGTTCCCAATAGCTATTCATCATTTGAAATCTATTTTCCATTCCAAAGGCAATGTGTTCTTTGATTATCCACCTTTCTATTTCCCTTCACGATTCAAAGTTAGCATTTGTTTCGTGATACAGTTTCATGATTTCCAAAATGTTTATTCTATCCAATTCCAATGTCTATTAATAATTTCCATTTCATTTGGAAGCTGATCTGTTCTTCATCAAACAATCATTAGATAAGATTATTGATATAAACGATAGTTCTTCCATTTTATTATACTGTTAATTTTCATGTGTCAATATTTAAATCAAACTAATTGTATATATGTATACTTAGATCAGGTTAATTAAATCATTTGTACATCATTATGTGTCTGGTAACTATTAGGCTTTCATTTGGTTCTGTACTTATAATATGTACAGAGGTTTGGGGGTATATATATATAGAAAGAATCACGAACTAAGACGAGACAATTGTCAAATGCTATCTGGTTCATCAATGACTAGCTTTAAGATGTTCCTGAAGGATTAATATGAAATTGTATTGAGTATTATTCAAAAATGTTTGAGTGAAACAATGTACACCATTGTCATTACATAATTATTATTCTATATTGCAAATAGATAGAAGTTTGTATTTTATAATTAAACGCTAAGTCATTGTTTTTAAGAGTTCGGAAAATCAACTTTTAAAAGAAAAGTCATCGATGCTCAGCGCTGTAGGGTACTATCCTAGGACAAATTCTATCAAGTAATACCTAGTTTTTTAATGTTACATTAACAATGATTGAATTATGCTGGCTATATACACATCAATTCATTGGATAGATCTACAATGTAATAGACTTCATATCATCTCTTATTGTTAGAAAATAAAGTAAATTGTCTTCAGAACTACATTTGGTACTGAATATGTTTATTTTAGTAACATTCTAAGCTAAAATTTATGTAACCATAGTAATTGACAAGTTTCTGTAAAGTATATTAATTAGATTTAGAGGAAGGTGGCCTAGCTGTGTCTGATAGCTTAAATGTTTTTGTTTTATTACTGTAGACTCTTCAAAATGATGTGTCTTGACTTGGTGAGATTTGGGGTTGAGCAGGAATTGATTTGAAAAACCATAAAATTACTCGTTTTGGCTAATGATTTTTGATTATTTTTTGAAATGGCACATTATGTTATACAGTCCCAGAGTAAACATCAATTCTGAGATGCTGATACATTCAGCTGACGAGTCCTAAATAGGATGAAACTCACGTTTTCGATTCCACTGCTAACCACAATCCATCTTCAGATATGATGCTTGTGAATCAAGGCTATATCGAGGCAATATGCACGGTATGCACATATACCAATAACAGACTGATCAATTGCAGTCCTAAACATTAATGGTAAGATTCAAACAAACAGTACCAAATGAATTTAGCATTTAATACTCGTTCATTATTAATTTTCTACACTAAGGTGATCAATTTCAGTTTAGAAATGAGTTTTTTAAGTGACTATTTTGATATTGTTGTAGTATCATTTTTTTAGTGTAGGACAAATCAGCTGTTCCTACTGAATACTCCTCTGGGATTTAACCTAGAATTTTCGCTATAGTTGAGTTTCAGCAATCCCTTGTTCCTAATGAAAACTTTGAAATTCAATGGCCCACATTTCCATATTCAATCATTTCGTAAGTTAACAATAAATTAATTGAATAAAGTTAGAAATTTAAATGACTGAATCTAATACCACTGATTTATAATTGAGTGTTCACTAAAACATCTTTTAAGGGTGTCTTAATATGTAGTATTTAGGAGTCTTATATTAGGACAAAATGGTTGTTCAGTGTTATCTGACTTATATCAGTAACTTAGTCTAAGTTAATCATTGACAAATGCCACCAGTATATCACCACAGATGCCTTAGAAATATTGCTCTAATCATCTGGGATCATTGGGTAAATAGTAGCAAGGTTAGATGCAGGATAATAGTGAATGATGGTAAATCAGTTAATGAGGTTATGGATCTTCATCGACTGAGTTAGTTGGGTCACTTGTTAGGTATGCCTGAACACCGATTACTACGACGCGCAATGATGACTAGTGTTGGTAATGGTTGAAAGAAAGTTGATAGCGGCCAAACAAAAACAAGGCATCAGTCCTTGAAGTCACTAACTTCTAGTCTGAACCATGTTGGTAGATGCAAACTACTTGGTTGGGGTCCGTGTGACTATCGTAACCAATGGTTGGAGACTTTTGGTGACATGGCTCAGAATCGATCACTATGGCGTATGTGTACACTCATTGTCTTTCCTAATTGTGAGACTAAAATTATTTGATATCCTTCTTTCTACGTACTAGATCTTTCTTTCTGTACCATATCCTTACACTAATGAGTTAACTGCTTCTATGAATCCGGTGTTCGTCGTGCTGTGTTAAT